AGCACGAAACGCTATTACTGAAGCTGCAACACTACGGCATTCGGGGGGTATCCCTAAATTTATTAAAATCATACCTTCTAGAAAGACTTCTTACAGTACAAGTAAACAGAGTAAACTCCCAGGGTGCTAGCGTATCTATGGGCGTACCGCAGGGCTCAATATTGGGTCCATTCCTATTTTTGGTTTATGTCAATGACCTGCCCCATTTATTCCAAAGTGAACCGCATATGGTATTATTCGCTGATGACACATCCTTGATTTTTAAATTAAATAGACGATCAAATAACTATGACGAAGTGAATAATGCCTTAACGAAAGTTCATAATTGGTTCACAAAAAACAACTTAGTACTTAATGATAAAAAGACGAAATGCATTAGATTTATTTTGCCAAATGTTAAAAGTAACGTATGCGATGATATATTATTAAATGGTCAGAAACTGGAATTTGTAAAGGAGACCACATTCTTGGGGATTACTGTAGACGACAAGCTGCAATGGGGGCCCCACATTAGATCTCTAGCAGGGCGGTTGAGCTCGGCAGCTTATGCTGTCTGGAAGATCCGTCAGCTAACCGACGTAGGCACGGCACGACTAGTGTACTTTAGCTACTTTCACAGCATCATGTCGTATGGAATTCTGTTGTGGGGACAGGCATCCGACGTTGAGTCTATCTTTATCTTACAAAAGCGTGCAGTCAGAGCTATCTATAACTTAGGTCGTCGCGAATCTCTCAGAGAAAAGTTTAAGGAGATCAACATTATGACCGTACCATGTCAATATATTTATGAAAACATTATGTATGTTAGGAAAAACCTACAGCTATTTGTAAAAGTATCTGACAAGCATGACTATCTTACTAGACATAGAAATAGATTAAGTCAGCCTTTATTTAGATTAGCAAAAGTGCATAAGTCGTTCATGGGATTATGTGTTAAATGTTATAATAAAATCCCAACTGAAATACAAAATCTTAATGAAAGTAAATTTAAATTATGTATAAAGAAAGTATTATGTAGGAAAGCATACTACAAACTAAATGATTATATAGAAGATAAAAATGCTTGGAGGGTGGCTGGTTTGACTGCACAGGATAAAAATTGTTAAGGTTAAGAGGAATTTTGATCTCAATTATTAAATTATTCCATGTTGTTGATTGTTGATAAACTGGATTTTTGTAAATGTGAGAGCCCTGTAACTTATTATAATTGAGTTAGACTTATAGACTTATAGTATATTGGTACTTGTGTCAGTTGGGAGTTGTCATGCTCACTCAGGAGTCTCATTGGCGGTGGCACGGGCACTGGACCGCTCGGTTCCCTATAATATGGTTGAGTTGGGCGGTGCTGGTGTACGTGTCATGTTCGTGAACGGACGCCGCCTATTGGGACTGGTCAACTCGAGACTGTCTAAAGTTGCTGTCCCTGAGGGTTATTTCTTTTTCGGATACTTTGGTTAAACACTAGTGTTACACTGTTCTCACATAATGGAGCTATCTAAATTATGTAACAATGTATTGTAAAAAGTGATTGAAAAAGAGTAACCATGGAGTTTCTTGCTCGTTCTTCACCATAGGAATCTACACTTTGGAACGAGCAAATAGCTTCACTAGAGGACAGACGGACAGACTGACACATAAAGTTAAACCTTATGATATCTTTTTTGCTTGACGTTCAAAAGTGCCTTTTTTGGTCTATTTGAAATAAAGAATTTGATTTGATTTGATTTGATTTAACGGTCGGGTGACCGGAAAACACGGCCGGTAAAAAAACTAAATTAGTTGATAAATCAACAAATATGAAACAAATTTTATATTCGACGGGAACAACTCACACGCAGGGAGGGTCAACCCGAGGGTGTGACTCCTACTTATACATAGTTTATGAGGTAAGTAAGTTTACATATGCGAAGATTTGCGCACGAGGCACGTATTAAGCAGAATAGTACAGTGCTGTAGGTTGCTTATACACATCATGATATAGAAAGAAATGGAATCTTTAATTTATCACAATATATTTTCCTATTATTATATGGACCCTTCAAACATATAACATTTCAGGTCTCTTATACAGCACCAGTGTTTGATAGTTTTGAAGTTTACGTGAACAACAACTGTGATGCAGCTTGTTACAAGCAGTGTGGCCACAAAACAAGAGGACATGATGCAGCTTTATTTGCAGGTGTGACCGCGGCTGCATACTTAGTGGATGCAATAAATCTGCCGCCGACGTGTTGCGGGGAGTGACGCGACCGCTGCACGACTGTTGTACGACCACTGCACGACCGCTGCGCGATTGTTGCGGCCTGTTCCGCGGCTGACGGCGCTCACAATCACATGCCGCATCAAGCGTCATGCTTACTCATGTACCGCTGACGACGACAGACACCTATTTAGTTATTTATTTTTATTTTATTGTACATAATGAAATAAAGTTGGTACAGAAGGTGAACTTAATGCCATTAAGCATACTCTACTAGTCAACACTTGGGTCAAGTGTAAAATCAGCGAAAAATAAGTACGGGAGATATCTTAAGTAAGTTTCTATCACGTTTCACCTGTTCGATTCCTATGCATAACAAAACAGGCAACATATTACATACCATACATTGTATGCTCACACGCGTCTGCCCCTTCAGAGATATATTCACGACGACAATGTTTGTTCTATGTATCTCGTAGCTTTATAATTGAGTGAATGTAGCATTTCGCTATTGTCACACGAATTAGATCTCTAGCTCGTAGGTAGGTTTCGTATTCTAAGAATATACACACATACACACGCACCGCAACTTCACACTTAATTCAAACATTTAAATTCATAACTAACGGAATTGAATTCCAAATGTAGTTCTCTGAATCCCACTTAGAGCGGAATACATATACATAAGCACACGCACACACAGGTACAGTTCACACATTAGGTTTGCATATACGTTACAGATTGTATATAACGATAGTGGAGGGCAGCCTCTCGCATTTACATAATAGAGGCATACAAGGCGAATGCCTGCCGTCCTCGGCCAAAACGCTATAATATGTGTTACTTTGATGTTGCTACCAAGAAATCGCAGTTTTATGCTTTAAGCTGTTCCAATGTGGAATACTGTCAAGCAAATCTTTTCGCTTTTAATAAATTATATATGATATAGTTGGGGAGTTTCCTGAAATTAATAATTTCGACTTTTCATTACAATAAAATATTCAAAAGTAATCGTACTTTCTAACGTACTATATTCGATTATTATTAACTAATTTTAAAGAAATAAATATTTGACGCAAAAATATATTAATGTAATACAATAGTTAAATTTTGGTGTTTGGGTAAAAGTTTAGAATTAAACAAGTAGTCGTTGACCTCTGTATTATGCTAATACCTAATATTCTATTCTATGTAAATGACTTCACAAACACTATTATGCAATTATAGAACGTGAACTAAGACCCTATAACTTCACCGAGTCGATTAGCTACGCTCGCCTTTGGCCCAGTTTGCGGTTTCGCAGAACAGCAAAGCGCTACGCTGCTACGGCGTAGTACACGTAGTGCCTACGAGGCTACGATAATGTGCTACTCATTAAGGCACCTATATCTTGCGGTGAAATGCGTTTGAAATGGTTCGTGGGTAAGTTGAGATGTAATGTTATATGTACGAATAATCTTATACAACATTCGTCCATAATGTTGGAAGTTGCTGTTGTATTATATTCGAAACCATGATTATAATAAAATTCTTTGAGATTAATTATGATCTAAGTATTTATTTTATTTTTATTTTTATTTAATAGGTAATGTAACAGACAGTAAACCAAAAATTACAAAGTTGAATACTACACTACACACAAATTATAAATCTACAGTATGAACTATTACTAAATACAATTTCATTATTTTATACATCAGTCATTGAATAATAGTCATTATTAAACTGTACACGGCAAAGTATAAAAGTACATCCCCAGGTGGTCACTGTCTTACAGTTTTCATAAAAATATATATGTCGTAGTGAAAAAGCAATAAAACTGTGAGAGGGGCCGCAATGAGCTACCGATACGATATTATATGTGTTTTGACACGGAGGGAGGCTGCGATCCGTTTTATTATAGAACATGGAATAGCGCACAGAGCTAAACTTGCGGAGTGCCGAGTTACAATAGTGCAGACCACGGTCAAGGACAATGGGACATTATATAGGTATAAGGACTATCATTTACAGCGAAATCAGATCTCTGAGATTCTAAGTATAATTCCAGAAATAAAATGATTTATTGTTCCTCCCTTTTTGCCATGAATTGTAGCACAGTAAAATTTGGTATTTGCCGCTTTTAGTTTTGTACACTAAAAAAGCAATAAATTGCCAGGAAATGAACAAATAACCTCTGTGAGACACAAAATCCACGATTCGAACATCTCATAAAATGCTTCGCGATCTGTGGAAGTTGCTCGACATGAAAGCAAGCGCGCTCAAGTGGCGGAACATATGTAGCAGGACCATATATGAACATACAGCCAACATTTTAATAAAGGAAGATTATAGTAGGGGGGGGGGGGGGGGAGGAGACGTGCTCCACGCTGCATGTGTCGGAAGCAGAGGAGATATTGTCAAGTAATTGTTTACACGCGACCGTGTCACTGCTGTCTACCAACGTACACTATTAATGTGACGTATTCATGAAATAAATTTAATTTTACTACCTCCCGCTAGGTGGACCGACGACATCGTCAGAGTCGCGGGGAGCCAATGGATGCAGGTGGCAATTTGTCGTTCGACGTGGAGAGCTAAGGGGGAGCCTTTGTCCTGCAGTGGGCGTCTTCCGGCTGATGACAATGATGAGTCGGATTTGAAAACAATATGCTACATTAGCAGAAACTCAATAATATTTCATATCAACATTCAATTTCAGTGCGATGCGTGATTCTGAGCTGACAGATTTTTATAAGTGGTCTTTTTATAAAGCCTTACTCTTGAAAATATTTTGCACAAATCACAATTCGTCCTTTCGATGTTTAAAGCGTTTGCGAAGGAGATCACGGCCAGTTTAGCCTCAAGTGTCTGCCTCCGTAACAGCCTTCGCAGGAACACAAACATATTGAATGGTTTCCACGCAACTTGTCCTGCTAACTGCCCGCTGCCGGCTATTTCGGGCGGTGTCAGGTTCCACAACTACTCGAGTCGGATGGCGGGTCGGATGACGTGCGAGCCTAATATTAACAACACGATTCAGTGCAACCACATACAAACAGGTATTAAGGTAACTAGAAAGTACCGATGCGATGAAGCCCAGTAAGAGCTAAATTGATAAAAATTAAAGACTGAAAACTAATAAAATGCCAATTAGTACGCTCAAATGGTAATTTTATTAATAACGATTATAGTAGCGTAATGTCGTATTCTTGTGAATCAGTAAGACTGAATGCTTTGCGAGAGGTAGGACGTGCTGGCAACGAGCGCACCGCGGCGCCCGGGCAAGGCGACGGCGGTATGAAGGTGGGCGCGGCGCGGTGCCGGCGCTGTATTACTGTAATAAGTGCGTTAATTAGTAGAACGCCGCCGTAATTAAGTACATACACGTCACTAACGATCGAGATTATGACTCGCAAGTGTGTTCTTCGCTCATTTTATTATCCTAAATTCGGTATGTTCTAGAATTCTGTTCCATTTACTTTGGTATTTAATTAAGCAGAGATTTGACGCCTGAGGACATACAGTGACACTCTCTTGATTATCTGTTAGAAATACTTCCTTATAGTTTTAAAACACTGATAATTGACAAATTTGTCACACTTTCTGATTTTGGTACACTTCCGTCACGTTATAATTTGAAGTAGCGGTAGACTAGCTAGTACTAGCTGGTAGATGTGTTATTCAGTTAACGTCGGGCGGGCAGTCCGCTCACGTCGCATTCATCATTCATAGCCGGCAGCCGACCGATCTCGTGATCTTAGAGAAATAATAAAACAGCCGCTCAGCCGTGGAACCGATCGTGACGAGGGTGCAACTCACCGCCAGAGTGCGCCACACTCCACCTGCACATGTACCTACATTATACGATACAGTACACTTGAAGCGAAATATTAGCCACGATTCCAACTCGATGTTTACTTCTCACGATAACGGTAACAAAAATAGGAAAAAATAAAAATGCGAGTGATTCCGTCCACTTGACAAAAATGAAAGCTCACAAATTCCAGGGCTCAAAAGAAAGCGAGGTAGGCTGTTAAGTTAACATTTATTTAAAAAGTGCCTTCATTGGGCTACAGTCGGATTAGCGGCCATCGGCTCAGCACTAATGGTTATTAAAAAACGCAGGCGGCCGCTCACGACACCGCAACACGAGCAAAACATTGTTGACATTCAGGCGAGCGAAAAAACTGGAGACAAAGCCTCGCACTGCCATTATCGCTCAGAGCTCAGAGCGAGCGGCGGCGGCGAGCGGCGAGCGGTGACCGGGCCGGGAGACGGACAGGCTGTGAGCCTTACAATTACACGTTTCACGAATGACACACGACGCGACGCTTCACGCGAAATATGTTGAGGAAAGCTTTAATTTTGTGGCCGGTAATACGGAACTTTTCATTTATGCTTTTTGTGTTCCGTTGGAAAAATATTTTGAATAGAAGTTTTAAATTGAAATAATTTGTGCCCTCTACACAGTTGCTGAGTAGACTGAACAGGTGAATACTGAAACGTAATCAAAGACTCGGAATGACTGCTGAATAAGTTTGAAAGACGAGTGAAATTATGTTTAGATTTCTTTATTTGTAGTCGACAGAAAAAAATAGTATTACACAAACCTCACGACTGCTTGCAATAAAAACGTTTTTAAGAGAAAGAGTAGTATGAACGTGGCGACAGACCCGCTTGTAGACGTTAGCGTCTACAAGCGGCTCACGCTCGCGACTACACTAATAATATTTCAAAGTGTTTTTGTTAGGGATATGAGTGAGTGCGGTGACATGGGAGCAGTTTTTGTGGGAAATTGAAAATGATTAGGTCCTCGCGGGTGAGAGCGACCGGCCTTAACGATCGCATTATATTGATGGGGCGCAGTTTTCCTTAAGCTGCGAGTGACGTTACACGCACAAGCTGTTGCAGTCAACACCTCGAAGGTGACATATTGTTACGTCAAATGGAACTGAGTCAACAGAGATTGAAGTATTTTATGCACGAAAATTAGAATAAAATACACAAAAACACATAAAATACACAAAAATATAAATAAAATACATAAAATACACAAATAATTACGGTAATTTACAACCTTCCCTGCATCACATGTATAAAATGTGCTATAAAATATAATGAAGCAGTGAGATCAATATCCGCCGCGTGTTTTAACTTGTACGATGAAGCGTGTGGTAGAGTGGAGTCGGATGGACGCGATACACGGCGCGCAGTGGAGCGCGAACATTGCGTAACTGGTCGTAAAAAGATTCGCGCTTGGAGTGATTGAACACGCACGATGGTGTGCAGATATGTCGCGTGATACATGTGTCGCCCCGCGGGCTGGCTGCTACTATTTGTATGTTTTCCATGAAACCACTTACTTCACTGTATTAAATTAACATTATTGTGATGGCTTGTTATCTCGTGGCTATTGTCCGCGACTTTTCTTTTCTACGATCTGCTATTAGTACGATGTTCAAATAATTAATTGACTTAAAAACTATATTATTATTAATATTTATTAATTATATATAAATTATGAGTAAGTTATCTGGATAAAAATAAATATTGTTAAGGATGAATCATAGCATAACAGTAACTGAAAGTGACCGTAACGCCTGTGGTACAGATTCAATTCTATACAGGCACCGTAATGTTATATACCTAGATTAATTAAAATTTAAGGCCTAGTATAAGATATTTATGTACAAACGTAAATAAATAAATTTGATTGATTGATTGATTGATATTTGTACATATATATGTGTAAAGTATAGTTCCGGAGCATTTTAATAGAAGCTGTTATATTAAATTGACATTTAGCTCATAAAACATTATAACTGGCCGAGCGTCACTCCATGATGTGTTATCAGGACCAATTTAATAGAACAGCTCATAAAAGAAGTTTATAGCAGGGACGATAGCGGCTCCGTGGTGACCTGCTGCCCAATGGCCACTGGTAATAAACTATAACAATAATGACATCATTGAGGGGCAGGACAGAGTGTCAGACAGTGAACTGAACTCTCCCGGAGTTTGTAAAACATGATTAGGTTAGATGTACTAGTACTTCTTTAACTCGAAATCCTAAAGTTATATTCAATATTATATTTTTAATGACTTATTGCACGTTGAGTCATGTGAGATAAATACAGATAAGTGTAAATAATTTTCTTTATCGGCAGCACTCTGTATTATTGTATCGAAATTCGAAACACACACTACCAGACAGCCTGCGCTCGCCCCGGCTGTGCCTCCCGCGCCTCTCCCTTAATGATTCTAACTACAGTTATATGCAAATTGTTCACTATGTACAAATATAAACACTAATATACTTGGCAAACAATAATTTGTTTACATTTGCCTGAAGTTCGGGCTCTGAGTACTTTAGAAGCTCTCCGGCTGCGGCTGCGTGTTCGTCGACGTTGTAAGTATGAGTTATACCATTGCGTAAGTTTGTCAAACGTTGTCATACTATACATCTGTGAAGACATAATATTCGGCGCCAATACCTTATCACATCCCCAAACGTCACTCGATTATTTAATATCGAAACGGCTATGAATTATCCCTGACAAGCTATATTGTTGGTTAATAACACCAAGATGTACAATCGTTATCTAAATACAGTATCTCACAGCAGATATAGCATTGTGTATATATGAGCAAGCATATTATTAGTCAACTCAGTGAATGGTGTTAAAGTCATTAACAACAAATTACGAGGTCATAAAGTGAAGTTTGTGACAATCTCATATTAAGATACAAAGTTTGTCATTACGGTACGTATATCAAAGTATATTGTCATCTAATGATTATGATTACCATCATGGTGTAAATTCTGTGTTTACACTTTGTCTTCGGAACGGAGCGAGCTATCCATGGCCGGGGCCCGGACAGCCAGGCAAGTGGCTGCTCCTCCACAGATAAAACATTAAAACCACACGCGAGCCTGTCACAACAAATATAATTGGCGCCGGGTGTGTGTAACAACATACTCCATTCATTAGAAATGCTTTAAACTCAGATGGAAACATTTTACATTTTATTGTACATTCTGCAAGTACCCGCTGTTTGGATTTTACATTACATTCATATATTTTAATTGAATTGTCATGTTTAAATTATTTTTTTAAAGAAGTAATATTTATGGTAATTTATAGATTATAAAAATTACTATATATACATATTTATGATGATTGAGTGCCTTTAGTCGTGTGGTCTGAAACGTTTATATGTATTTTTTAAATGTTTAACTTTTGTAGGTATATATAATAGCTACTATGCAAAACGTCACTGACAAACTCTTCCGCCGCTAGCCGCGACAATCAAACGCAGGACGACTCTCGAGGCAGTGAAGTGGCTACAATATGCTCTTGTAATAAGAATTGCCAGACTGACCTTAGCGATGCGGTCACGGCTGGCCGAGTGGCGCCACTATCGATAATAGTCATCTCTAGTTACTGCCGAGTAGTTGGAGGAGAGGCTCGCGTCCTCGTCCCAATCTCTGTGAATATAATATCAGAGGTGCTACCCCTGATGTGTCTTCAATGAACCTATTTAAACATTTACATATTATAAAGAGACCGGCTAATGGGCCCCATACAGGGCTGACAACTTTTACTCCAGTTTATATTTATTTTCATAGTTTTAAAAGGAATCACAAGTTTTGGTCAAACATAGGAAATGTTTTATAAATTGAAAACTAGCTTTCATTAAATTGTCTATTACTGTACTTTCAAATATTTAAGAATTGACTTTTGCCTTTATTATGCATGCCTAAATAGCCTAACAATAACATCTGATATGATATTTTTATTGTGAACTGATTTTAGCATCAATTAATTATCACACAAATAATTGAGAATGAAATCATTTGTAACACTTGTTACCATAGCAAAAATTAATTGAACAATTTAACACCGCCACTTTGTTAAATTATCTCCTTAACAAATTACATGGAGTAAGAGCTCAACTGACAGCCCTGCGCCTCCCATGGGAGCCGAAGGAACGAACGTAATTTATTCGCGGCTTGCAAGACAGGCGCAGGTATGTGCGTACTTACCGGAATAAAAGATGTACGCCGAATTATATTAGTTACTGTCTTTACGTTATGGCGGCTGAATTTCAGGAAAGTCCCCACATCTAGAAGTTTTAAGATAAAATACTTTATCAGCGCAATCAACATTTTTGTGTAACGTATCTACCATATGTTTTAGTATGTACTGTTAAAAGTTATTGTTTACTATTTGCGTTTACTTGGATAATACTATAATACCTGCAGCTTTGTTACAACGGCTACGGCGTAGCACTCGCGTTGTTGCAGTACTCGATGCTTGCTACGTGGTTGTGCTACGAGAAGTAATGATTTGCAACAGTTAGGCCTGATTTCAAACTCAATTATGTTGTTGCGGATAAAAATGGAGGTTGTATAAGTATAGTCGATACATTTTAGTTAGTTTATTTTGGAACGGTTCAGCACGTTGACACCATCAATATCGGCAGTAAAGCAATATTATCTACGCCAAATATCGAGAGACATCTTACCATAAATAAATAAATAAAGTGAAATGGTTTATTGACTCGGCCTGCGTCCCATCTCACCCGACCGCTGTCCCCGACAGGACTCATTTCTGCGGCTGTTTGCTGCCTTCCGATGTTAACGAGCTAACGTTATTTTCAAAAGATTTAGAAAAATGGTAGTCTGACCAAATAGAGGAAAGTTTTTTTATAATGCGTCTAAATTATACTCTAGTACGACCAAATGCTGAGAATTTTACACAGAGATAAAATTTTACTTTTCGGTTTTTTATTAATACTTTCACTCGAATAAGCGATATTATGAGAAATACTTTATGATAGTTTTGTTTCAATTAATTGTCAAAAGTAAGAAAGGCAGTCGAGACAATACCGATGTTGACTTAGTTCCTCGGAGTGAGGAGCGGCCGCACTGGCCACACGATACCTATCTGTAAATACAGCAGCGGCTCCACGCTTAGTAAATAATTACAGCGAGTAGATTGCAGCGAGCTGTTGACGGCGAGGGGATGAGGTGTCCTCAAATACGGGCCGAGCAAACTCACTGATTGATGATTCGATCACAGAGGCGCGATCAATTGCCGCGCCGCGCCGCACCGCACCGTGCAGCGTTCCACTTAGATGTAAAATTTATTCCGAAATAAAACATAGTTATTATTAAAGGTTTTGTAGCCTTTTATCCTATTTCTTGATCGTTGTGACTTTCTTCATTTGTAGCTTGCCAAAAGTGACCATTCGCTGAAGTGTGGCTCACCTACACTTAAACACATTTTTCGGCAGGAGGCCTCCTTGGTTGAGGAGGAGTTGCTTGAGTGCAAGCCCCTCTCCAATCCAACTTGGAAGACCAGCGATCGTGTAGTTTTATCTTCAATTTCCAAATAAAGAACATGTGTATCTCCCAATATTCAGTGCTCAACATTATTATTATAAATATTTTCGATAAAACTTCCTGCAAATTGTGTGGACGATATTTTTAATGCTCTCTACTAACACAGGCAGTGTTGCCAGTAATAACCATCGTCAATATTGTTGTGGAGTGTTACCTCGAATGACACACAAAATGCGATAAAATGTTTAAAAATGTAACTTGTACTCAACACCCATACTGTTATTTTCAATAATATTTTATCACTCGGTGGCACTCATTTTTCAATTTTATATTATGCTTTGCCATGTGAAGTTTAAACTTTTTTATATTACTTTGTGAATTATATTAAATATATGTTCTCCAACGAAATAACATTCATACACACGTACGTATAATGTGGAGTGGAGTTATTGCAGTCCACGTTTCGGGTTATTAAATTTTAATAAACGGTAACCAAGTATTTTACGCTTGTAATGTCATATGGCCTGTGACCTTTCGGAGGCTGCCTGTGATATTTCTGCTACTTCATATATAATCTATTTACTAAGGAAAAGTCATGTGATAATTTTGTTAAAACGAGATTATTACTGACAAGATCAATCCTCCCGGCAGAGGTCGGCTGCAAAGACAACCTCTCAAAATAAAATTGCTTTATTACTGAAGTATTGACCACAAAACGTACGTTTAAGCTCGATAGTCCGCCATGATGTATAGACTCGGTGACAGTTAATGCTGCCACAGATTATATTTCAAGATGGCGTCGATACTTCCCTTGCGTCACCCTCATCGGCTGTATTGGTATAATAATGCTAACTCAGAATAAATCTTTATTCATAAATATTACATTTTCTAAAGCCTTCAAAGGTTACGTACACCCGTAATTAAATCCTGAAACTGTGTCAGTTTAAATATAAACAAAATGAATGATAAGCGCCGTTAACTTCATAATGCATTTTAATTACAATATTGTCTAGAATGAAACACAGCAGTTAATCATTTCAGTCATGAACCGTTTTGTTAATGGTGGTGTTGGCTATTGTCCGCATCATCCGTTGTTGGCCAAAAGCCGCTCATTAAAGATATTTGGCGTAATGAGCAGCGATTGTGAGTTAATCACTACACCAGTCCACAACATTTGTTTTAAAAGCAAGATTAATATACATCGTAACACTTACTGGGGGCTGCAGGGGGACAGAGAGGGAAACACTTTTGAAGCAGAACGAAAGAGAAGGAGTGACAGTGGAATTGCCTCATATTATTTCATAAGAAGAGACAACACAATACAAGTTTTTATGTGTCCCTGTCCGCACAGTTTTAATTTAGTGACGTAATAAGTTAAAATGTTTGCTAGAAGATACTGCTGTGCATGCGGACGTGTGGACGTGCGTGCTGTGCACTTCCATTTTATGCTAATGTTAAGTCATTGCTGCTATAAACTTTGCTGGTTTAAGTCTGAGGATATGAGCAAAATTACAATAGGGTAAATAAGAAGAGAGGGAAAAATTATCAAAAGATCTGTCGTTTATTATGGTGGGGTTAGACAGCAGTATATTATAGATGGAGGCTATTTATTTTATATTGACAGGTCACTCAGCAGGAGTCCATGTTGCTCGTTGTTGTGGCAGATGTACGTGAGGGTGTCTGATGACTTGCTCGCTCGTACTGCACCCGGGGGAGCCGGCACTCGACGATACATTACCATCAATGGGATGATTGGAGTCTGCATTGATTTATTGATGAACTTATTGAAGCACTGACACTTTACGTTAGTTTGTTTGTTTGAGTATTATTATTATGTGAGGACTTATTTTAATATTTAATTGACTGTTAAAATTTATGTTTTGTCCTTAAGGATTATTTATGGCATAGGTTTGCAAACGAGCAGACGGATCACCTGATGATGAGCAATCAGTACCGCTAATGGACGCTCGTGATATGAAAGGTGCTGCTTCATGCCAGTATTCTGTAAGGACCGAAGATTTCTCCTCTTACACTTAAAGGTAAAGAGCCATCTCTTGATTGAGATTTAAATCGGTTTTACATAAATTAAATAAATAAATGAAGTTGAAAACAAGTTGTGGCTTAACACAATTAAAGCATCATGCAAAAATGTATGTGCACAGGACAACTAACAGTTGATGACAACGACGAAGAAAACAGAAAAATTGTATCGAGTGAAGAGAACAACCCTCACATGGCCCTCCCTATATATCCTGGAGCCATAAAAATAACAGCTTTTGTGGAAGTACACACCATTCCATTTGAAAGGATTCGTATCAAGTTTTGAACGCTACAAACCATCGCTAGCTGGCTGAGTGGTGCTGATGTTGTTATTTTAGTTAACTTGATGCCGCGAGCTCGGAGTTTGTTCATCAACTATTATAATATCATTTCTGAAGAGTACAACAATTTCATTCTGCGCTCGATTTTGGGCTCCACTACACTAGGCTGCTTTATCACTTTTTATTAAACATCTAGAATATTCTCTGTAGCATTTTGGCATAATTAATAGCCGCAAGAACAAGAATGGCAAGCAGAAGGTTGTTGATTCAATCACCAAGTTGAGGTTGACTGTCTATTCTTACTTGCATTTCGACTGAAAGCTAAAGCTAATACTCAGACACCGTACACGTCGTGCCCTGATGTGATGGTGTAATTGAGCGCTACGCGTGCGAGGCGCGCGCTCCACAAATGTTTGTGCAACCACCGGCCGCGGGAATGTCGCAACTTCGACCACTGCGCGCCGGGACACAGACGCTCACTATGTTCATACAATACTTATTATTTGTTAGTTTCGGGATATCATCACAAGTTAGAAAGTAAATATACCTAGTTATTTACTTGTGCTTTCAGTAGATAACTCTGAGTGTAAATATTTTTTTTTTTAAATAAAATGTATGCATTTGCGTTGTATGGACCAATGCTTAGGGATCTTAATTTGTATTGTTGTCCAATGATTTACATAAATAATGATTAATGATTTACAATAACAAACGCAGTGCACAATGTTCACACACAGGGACTGTGCTCAGCTAGCGTGACTGTACCTAGTAGATGTCTTCAAACTGAGATATCTGCGGAATATAGTCGCTGCCCGGGATACAGCGGCCTGATTCTGTAGCACATGCGGACTTCACAAGTTGCTCCACCGAGTGGACGCTCGAAGAATACTTATTCGTTCTGCTTGAAGACAGTTCGTTACGCTAACTTCGGTAGGCTACATATAGTTGCAGCGAGTTAGTGGCCGCACTGCGAGCTAGGATTGGAATTGTACCCGAGTTCATCGGCCGAGTTACTTCGCTGCACAAAACTTTGTGTACGAGTTCGGTTTCGGAACCTGTCCGCAGTCATGTGTTGAGTAACTTTCGTCATACTCATTGCTAGACAAAAAGAGTTCATTGAATAAAGTTTCGTAACATAATTGAAAGAGTTAGGTTTATCGTACTTGATCACGTGACACCACTAAATCCACATACAAAAGTTAATTTAAACTTAAACCATGAACAACTGGGGTAACAATTAATTTAGTAAACGCGCTTATCGGCTTGGCTAAGTGACATTTTAATTTGTGTAATTTAGTCGGTCCGGGCCCCGAGCCCCGGGCCCCGGGCCCCGGTAAACAAAGCTAAGTTCCGCGCGGCGCCACTTTTTGTTCGGCGCGTGTTTTGCGCGCAAGATAAACGCGTCAAGTTAGCGGCTGCCGCGGCCGGTGCAAGTTATGGGAGATTGTATCGGCGCCGCTATGGAAATTAATAACAACTTTCTGGAACGAAACAGCTGAAAATGTTCGTGTTGAGACTTTCATTCTTTGATTAATTGTACGCGGTCGATTTTTGTTTGCGGAGGTCGTTATTATTTATTTTTTCTTTTAGATTTGAAGAGATACAGGTTCTTTTTTTATAAATATCAAAATACTTGAAAATATGTGAGTGGAGCGGCTTCTCAGGCTTTGTCGTTACCGACTGCGTCATACATCACGGAGCTCGCCGTCGCCGCCGCGGAACAAACAGTTGTTGTATTTCTGCAAGTTCGCAAGTTGCTCGCTACCCGCTACCTGTAAGTACGCGTGGCAAGTTGTAGTTTACGAGGGCGCAGAGGGCCGCGTTATTTATTTACCACAAAGCACAAGTAACGCGAGCCCCCGGCCGAGGACATGGGACACAACTAATGTACCTACCACGCCGCCACCGGCTTTTTGTTAACACTCACAAATTTTCACGAGACTTCTTCCATCTTCCTGTAAGTTGTCCGTCGTTATTTTGAACCCAGTACAAGAAACTATTTATTTCTCAACTTTATGGCAAAACTAAGACTTCCTTCAAACTTTATTTTGGTATCAAATTTATTTCCCAGAGAAACCGTTTCGAGTTTTTATGATGGCAGTGCTGAACTCTCTGGAGGAAGTTAGAATTTAATTTGCGAAGCTAAACAGTTATTTTATAGTTACGTTGGTTTAATGCTGCGACTACTTCGCGCGCACGGGTTGTAGCTACAATATTCAGTATATTGTTATAAGTTCAATTAATAATGTAGAACTGATGTTTTGTTAATAACTTGGTAATGAAACCGCTATTCAATAAAAAAAACATTAAAAGAGAAATTAAATATAACAGTTGAATTGAGGACTATCAGTAATCATAGATCCGCTTACGTAGTAACTACACAGAAACGAGACGACAGATTCCACGAAGCCACTCCAGCCGTTATGAAAAGTTAAACTGTGCGATATCTCCTCTCAGTGAGCCGTGTAAGGCGCAGACACACTTCATAAATCAATGTCACGTAATAAACGTCACGATAAATGTATATTTGTCGCCCGTCAAACTGTGGGAATCACGAGGAAATGCGTGAAAAACCATATACAGTAGAAAAAAATCTAGACAGCCGAAAATATACTCTAAGCCTGTACCCAGGAGAGTCGAATATTCAGGGCAGGGAGTAATAGAAATACGTTAGTGAATATCGAATAAGGTCGGATCAGTGATTGATATCACTTTTCATGCCACATATATAGTAATATTGGGCTTTGGGTAGGTACACTTACCTACGATATATTCGGTCCAGCAAACATAAATAAAAAGGGGATCAGGACGTTAAGCCGAGCGCCGACCTCGAGTGGGTCCGGGTGAACTGTCCTAGTGGCCGATAGTGATCGATGGTCACATGGTCGGTACATGCAAATACTAACTACTCTAATCGAAAGATACAGAAATAAAGTCGACTATGAACATAAAAGTACCTCCTCCGCTTCAAATATCTTGGAATTGGATCTGATAGTGAAACACAATATATCAAAGTGGACTGCATGGCAGCAGTGGCTGCACAATCAGGGATCAATCCAGAATTGCATCCGTCCAATACCGCAGTTGCTGCGACGAACAACGACGTCTTGCTGATACAACTACTCTTCTGTCAGCTGAGCACAGTTTGAGCTCTAAGATCTACCACGTAAGGGTGACATAAACGGCACAAGCATTTGGTTCCGAGTAATGTGGACGTAATTGTGTGTCAGAGCCACACATATCCATTACTGATCCACGTAAACTCGACGGATTAGTTTTTGATATAGAGACGATAGTAGATTGAGGCCAGCGCTCTATATGAGGCTGCTGGTGCTTCTTAACGTTATTGAAGCTCAGTGAGATAACATCGTTATATTACAAAGTTCATTCTCCGAATGCAACGAGTTTACTGCAGAGTGCTTCTATTAACTTCATAAATATTAAAGTTATCTTTGAAAATAAATAATTGCTTAACGAATTAAATGTTTAAAAGTTAGTTGGTGCAGTCCCGGAACTTAGATAAGTTTAATTACACCTGAGGGGCCGGCTGCCCACTTCGAGCTAAAGTGTTTCAGGATCTCAACTCTTTGCTGCTGTGTGCTGTACCACTGCATTGTATACTTGAAGTACAAGCCCCCCCCCCCACCCACCGGCACTCGAGACGTACCACGAGCGACTGGACTGTGTACTGCCGCAAGGCTTTTGTCAATTCCAGAAACCACTTACTGACCGGGTAGTATTCTCAAATGCACAGAATTGTGCTTTTAAAGTGAATCTAGAAAAATAAATTATATTTTAAAGTCTGATTTCTTATTTTTTATTTATTATACATAGCTATCCGCACACGCCCCCGCTCATAAACGAATAGCCTCTACGCGCATAGCAATGTACGCTGAAATAGTCCGGCAACACCACGTGAAGGGTCCTCCAGCATGTCAATGTGTCGACAAGGCATCTCAATTACCCTTTTCGGGAAACTTGGTGATAAATTATTCAGTCCTAATACAGGTCTCAAATCTAAGTACCTTTTGACCTTCGAGGGCTGGTACAGACCGTAAATTAAACATGCCACGTCATTACTCAATTTCGCCAGAAACTGGAAGCCAGAGAGCCGGCGGAACCCTTATTAAACTTTTTACGATTCAAGTTGGCTGGAACATTAAATATATTGGCTTCGCTTGGCCGGAAGGACGCCTCCTGTTATGAAATGCTGTCTATTGGGAAGTGTGGCGCAAACTGCGACCTCTAGCTCGTATTGTCCGACAAGTGGCCACTTTTATTTATACGACAAACGGATTCCCCTCACGCTGCACGCATTAGGAATAAAATAGATAATTGGTTACATTATTTATAAAGTCTGGGTGTCATTATATCGATTAACCGGTTGCCGTATTTATTGGAGGAGATGGAGCGTACTCTACAGAAGGGTATAAATAGTACAATAAAGCTCTAAGCAAGTAATTATGTAAAGCTTACACATAAGGTAATGTATTTTGCTGGAATACAAGCCGCGGCCGTGGCGCGACACATTGTGATAACAATTATCGTGATCAGGATTCCGCGGGCACGACGGGGCAGGCTGAAAGCAATCTGCTATACGAGAAACGATAATGTTGTCGCTCGAGATAATAAAAATGTACAAAACAAAGTGGAAGTAGGCAACAAAGGGCCGGCAGCCATTGCTCTGTCACTGGCAGACAGAGAGGTTGTTACTGTCGTACCAGGGATGCCAAACGACTTTGTTTTTCACAAACATTTTTTGTCGAGCTAGTTTTTATTCCGCTGGGATTGACGTATTTCTAGTTTATACTCGGTATATTGAAGCGAACGGGTTATTTGCGTGGATGAGTCCGGCGCTCCGTCAGGCAACATTAGCTCTGCGGGTACTGAAATATTTCTCGCCTTGGCAAATAACACAAAGGTGATTCTCCATCTCCCTTCTCAATGTTACTTAGCGTTGCTATTCCTTATGTTGTTTGAGTTGTAGTTTAGTGTTCTACTTGTGAGAGGACAAAAGCAGGAATACCTTCGCGTTTGTTTGCTGTTTAAGACGTAAAGAAGAAACCTGCCGAAATAGGGAGGAGCCCGGAGGAGGCTATTCAAGTACATCTCTTATGTTTCTCATTAGAACAATAGGCGGGGTGTTATGTAACAAGTATAATGCTTGCGACTGCTGTAGTCACGGGCTGACCCCGGCAGCCCTACAATGTCGGCGGGGGTTCGGTTATTATTTCCACGAGAAAGATTTAAGTGACGTCTCCGCGGCCTGTTGTCTCAAACATTGTACCAATGACGTGCACAATACTGTTGACCAGTCCTAATAAACTTTGTACAAATATTGTTTTATTTTGACGAGCACGAATGTCAAAATAATATCGTTTATAAAAAATATATTTACTTTCCAAAACTGGTGTACTCTTTAATTAAGCAATTTTGTCTAAGTCAGGAAGATCTAAATATGTATGAGTTGTCACCAGAGCAGTGTATATTCGTCGTGTAGGAGCGCGGCGGCGCCGGCTCGGCTTAGCTCGCCGTCCCCACGTACTACTCTAACAATGAATATCACCAACACCGGCCTTACTTTGCAACGCCTCCGGCCAACTCTACAAAGGTGCAATACTTACCCACACCCACACACACAACGTCAAAAAGCCCTACTACATCAACATCTAAAATAGACTTTCAAGATAACATGACAAAGTTGGTATTAGACTGGCACGCCTTCAAAAGTGGAATGTTCTAGAATATTTCCAAAAGGTTTTGAAAGCGCGGACTCCTTGCAGGCATGTTTGCTCTGGCTCTCTGCGGCTGATGTAAGAATGACCTCAATAACCGAGGGATTCGCTTCTACTGGGACACTTACTATCACACTGAATTAGCAGATGATGTGTGACGTCACATTAATTAATTATTCTATGCATACGTTATGCTCGGCATTGTGTAGCTGCATTTTAGTTCGCCACAGTAAATATTATTGTTTGGATGCATAATGGCCGATCATGTTCATAGTTTGCTTTGCTGTTCTAGCTCGATAAGTTTTAATTATTCACAAGTGTTGTTTGATCTTTAACGTAATAATTTAGTAAGTGGTCAAATTATTGTTGTTTTGATATAATAGGGGTTAGAAATGTTGATCTTAGATTCAGTCAGAGGTTAATGAAAAATTTAAGTATAGTACCTACATTGCTTGGGCAAAGTTTTGTGATTTGGAAGAAAGGTTTTAGTGTAAAAAATCGGCGACACATCAATCACTGGTACATGATGTACACAGAGTAAGTATATAGTAGGTGTGTGCCTACAGAGAGTATCGCATTGTCTCGCAACAAGTCGGCGCCGCGCGCAACACATCCGCAACTTTGCGCGTAAAATTGATTTACCGGTTCATCCCGGCTGATGCGAGCACAAACAAACTGATCCGCCGACTGATTGATCAGACAACACATACAATGGCAAATACATTTGCTGCTCCGCCGGCGCGACACCAACTTATTGTATTCTCGTCACTGTCAGCACATGAGCCGTGCGACCTGTTTCCGCGAGCTTTTTCATCTGCAACCTCCTAATATTTCAAATTCGGCACATTCCTAGCTCATCATCAATCATTTTACTGACGTTTGAATTTGTAATATAAACAAGTGTTTCGAGGTCACATACTGCTCGGTTACAGATTTATTACTTTTATGGGAAATTTATATATCGAAGGAGAACATTGATTCGTGATTACTGGCTTTATTCCCCGGTAGTGACTTTACGCTGAGATTAGCATGCGAATAAGTTATTTATATTCATAGATTTAGCGAATCAACACTTAACGCGGTAGTAAAGCCGATCCAAAAACAAAGAGCTGGTAGCTAAAAACAGTATTTTCAGCTTTTCATGTTAAACAAGTCGTTAAAGAAGATGAACGCTAAGAATAAGTTAATTTGGTTTTGTTAGTCAATGTTCCGGTGAGCAAACAATGAACCTCTTTGTTGTTGCGACTGCCGCTCGCCACGACCACTTTGTTACTCCAGCACGGAAACTGAACATCGAAATACGCGAACACTGCTATATACATGTTTGGAAAACTGTTCATTATTGTGACTATACTAGCTGTAGAGTTAATAAACAAGACGTGTACAAATCCAGTCCGTCTGGAAGGAGTCGGTATAACAGATTAGGGAGGTGTGTGTAAATGTTATTTTGTCGCAAGTACATCGCCGGGGAGTAAATCCATCATCAGAGCGACCCTCTTCACGCGCGCTTAGCGTGAGGTCCGCCGCGCGCCGCCGTCCTCCGAGCCACTCCAGAGGGCTGAGAGGACAACTGACACTCGTTTTCATTACGTAACAACAACTCCAGAACTTAATTGGATTCAAAGTGTCAAATGGCGGACTATTGACAGAAAGAGTTTAATTATTTTCGGCTATTGACAGATTGCCGTTTCAGACGAATATTTACTAAGTAAGTTTTTTAATTGTCTTTTTTTTATGAAAATATTAGGTTTTCGTTTACGATACAGTTACTCGTTTTCAGAGCTCACTTTTGAAGACTATCAAGTGCAAGTAGTGACGTGGCTTGACATTTGTGATTTATGTAGCTACGTGACATGATGACGTCATGACTGTACCTTTGTCAGCTACACTATTGGTGCAAAGTGGAATTACAACTAACTTCAAACACTAGTCTCTAAAGTGGGTTTTGTGCGATTGAAATATGTACTTGGATTTTCATTAGTGTAAGCACGGAAAAGGTTTTAGTTCAGGGTAAGGTTGGGTCAGTTTATAGGCAAACTCTAAATACAAGTTCAAACAAGCGAAGGAAATGCAGACCCGGACAGGCTGTCTCCCAAGGTAGGTAGAACCTCTCCCTGTCTCGTGTACATGTTTAATTTCCTTCCTAGAGTACCTGCTGCCACAGCCGCGCTTACAAACTAACTGGACGATTCAAATTGTGGAACACGCGCGGCAGCGGTGCGAAAATACGTGGTACAACAATAATGTATTTAGGTACAATTTATTCTTATCTTATATTCTGATTTATCAGAATAAACCTAAATACATAAGAAGAAATAGTCTTTAAATGTACTTTATCGGATGTGTGTGTGATAGCTATTATAGTTTGTAATACAAAGAGATGACGGAATGACACAAATAAAGTTTTCCCGTGTACGTTTGTGTGATGTGTGTACACAAATCTAGTAATCTCATAATGTAGGGAATCAGTGTACATTACGCGGCTAGTTGTTATTCGCGTCAGGCGGCGGGCATTACAGTAGTAGGCCAACTAACTTCGGAACCGTTCGGGTTCATTCGGCAAAGTTCGTGTTTGCTCGAGCTTAGCCCACCTATTCACATGGCTTAACGTTTATCATGGTGGCCTAGGAAGCTGTCCCGTTGTCTCTGATGGCTTTGGCTCGAAGCCAGTCTAGAGAGAGCACTAAGACCGCAGTCAGGAGGTGTGGAAATATCAACGATGAATATTTCACAACAACTTCCCATGAATACTAGCATTACTAGCTTGCTGAGCATTTATTGTGATGATATCTCGACACATTGTTGTGGTACAAATGTATTTTATTTTACACCTTGAGCTAGGTACTATTGTTAGACCCCCTGACACATCCATGTAAAGTTTCTGCATCCTCTAGCTATTCCCCTCGAGCCTGTGTTTGTGAGAGACCAGCGCTCGAGTGCTAACGTCACCAGCGGGTTATTTATAGTCCACTCGCCGTTATCTACGGAACCACTATTTGCTTCAGTTATTAAAACATTATTTATGCCAAAGATGCTCCTAGCAGTTCCTAAATTAAATTGTTCCAATCTACGTCTTCAATAAAATGAATGTGATATTTATACGTATTTGTGTATACATATCAATACAAATGTACTAAATTATCGTGTTTACATATATTTGACCGGATAAATGGGCATGAAACTAGTTGTCACTAGTTATTTAGTTACTGTTCAAACTGTCAAATTGATTACTGCCAGACACTACAGGCTTCGTAGGATAAATAATGTGTCAGGCCAAAAATAGTACACGCACGAAGTTTATTATATTTTTATGTCTATTAGATACCAAACAATATTAATTATATACCAAATGCAAAATACCAGTTGACTAATCAATATTCAAGTAATAGAAATTGAAGTGAGCATAACAGCAGCAATGAGTTCGTTACACGTATTTTTTGATCCAGCGCAGGTGTGAGGTGATGCGGGTATACCCAGTCGGGTAGCCGGCGTTGCAGCCAGCCGCAGCCGTGAACGATACCAGTCCCACCTGTGGCCAGTCAGGGATACAGAGTCAGCTATTACTCTTCTTAAAATACGAATGTTTTTATAGTTTGTCAGAGTCTTAGTCAAATTATTTATTTCAAATAGGCCACTATAGACATTATGGAAAGTCAAACAAAGAAAAAAAAGGTCAGTTCTTCGTGTGTCTGTCCCTTATTGAAGAAATTTCATGGTTACTCTTTCTCAATCAGTTTCATAATTCACTTTTTTGTTACATTATTTAGGCGGGTCTATTATATAATAAAAATAATCCGAAAACGAAATAAGATAATTTGCATGCAAAGGTGGCAAAATAAATGTACGGATAAGCAGACCCGTACTTCGTAAATAAATATAGTATAGTATAGGCATACCAGCATATCCTGGCCTGAAGCTCCGATGTACCGGCGCAGCACCAGCGGGCCGCCGTAGTCGCCGGCGCAGGCTCCCTTCCCGCCGGCTCCGCTGGTGCACATCATGTCGCTGGTCACCACGTCTCCGTATATCCGGTTACACTCCGTGTTGTTCATCACCTTCACGTACACATCGTTCAAGCTGGAGTTCCCTCCCAGTGGAGCATCTATAACAGAACAACTTTAATTAATTCATATGGGCAATTTTTTTGTGAAGGGAAAATCATCAATGACTTCTACCGCCTAAGGTGGGGCGGGAGGGAGGGAATTCAGTTAAGTAACGCACCCGGAGATGTTCTCCCGTAACCTATAATTTCAGCAGTGTAGCCTGCAAATGTGCTGAAATATCCGACTGGTATAACTATAGGAGCGATGTAGGCTGAAACAAAAGAAAAATATTATACTTCACGCAAAAACCCTATAATTGCACACTACACATGTATTTGTCACTGTATAACTTACTGCTGAAGGAAACGTATGGTATGACTATCATGGCGATGTCGTTGGCGAGGGTGAAAGGGTTAAACTCAGGGTGCAGGGTCACAGTCTCCGCCGTCTTCCTGGTGCCTCCGCTGAAGAGGGTCACAGTGCCTAGCACTACCTGTAGAATGATATACGAATGTAATATTTTTTAGTTTATTCTCTTGTGTAGGATAGAGCGTCAAACAAGCACGCGGACTATCTGATGGTATGCCCATAACCATCCACAGCACTAGAGTACTTGCAAATGTATTCCGTCTGTTTGGCTAGTCCACTCTTAATAATTGTGAGGAAAACTGGACTTATTATGGTAAACTGAAGGAAGCGTGCTAATGCTCGTTCGTTCTTCGTCGGAGGCCTCTTTCCTTTGTTCAGCAATGTTATTTAATTTTATTTGGAAATAAATTAAAAATCACGCTGAATTACCTACATACTTTTGTTTGCAACTTCCCAAAGGTTATCACTACCGGATTGCCAGCAGGCATACATTATCAAAGGTAACTCACCTGGATCTCTCGGCCTTCATTCTCCCCGTCGTACCAGCACTGACCAATGGTGACGACGTGGTAATGGCTCAGCAGGGTTCCTCCACAAATCGAGGTTATTCCGGTTTTCAATGTGATTATCAGTCCCGCCTGAATAAGGCCATCAATATTATCATTTTTTATTGTATGTAATCGTGTGTTGAACGTTTTATTATTGGCTTCAAATACTAAAACTTAAAAGACTCTTAATTTTCTTATAAACGGAACAAAGTCTCATATTTATATTTCTGTTGAGTTTTGCTACATTTTCTTTAGGTAATTTTACTTACAAAGAATGGATGTTCCCCGTTATAAGAGGCGAGGCCGCCAGCAATGCGCATGGATTCTTGGAGCCCAATCTGGCGCGCCATCGGTATGCCGACGCGCTCGTGGTACTGCGCCGCGTAGCCCTGCCACACCAGCCCCAGCACACAGACACACACCAGTACTGCCTTCATTGTGACAGATTAGGTGGATATGAGGAAGGAAACAGTGCAACGTCTGTTATATATTGTAATTGTGTGCCACGTGGGTTGACACGAAGTATACTGATTATTTAGAGTGCCACTCTAAAAAGGGGACTTCATTGGAACTGATTCATCATTTGTTTACCTGAATTCAGAACAATGAGAAGTAAGATATGTTATGTATATTATAAGTGAATTATGTTTTTATAACTATCGTGAGACATACTAAATTAACTAAAAATTGCGGGTTACTTACGTGTATATATTGAGAAAAGCTCTACTAGTTTCGAACCACAGAGGGGTTCTTCCGTAGGCTGCGCGACGTCGCCGCGTCCGCGCGCGCTGCTCATGAGGAAGATTATTAGCGATCGTTAGTTAATAAGTGAATTACTTATTCTGGAATTATGGAATGCCAAACATCGCCTATAATAAATGTATTGCTCTTTATACTATATTTTTTGTTGCAATGTGTTGCGGTTCGATTCCCGCACGGAACAACTATTGGTGTGATGTACAAATTGTTGTTCTGGTTCTGATTATGATGTGAACCCACGGCACAAGAGAAAAACTTAGAGTGAGGTAACGTTTAAAGAGCAAATAAATAAAAGGTACCTATGTACGAAACCTAAAATAATGAAAGTCCATGTTTTCATTTCATTAGAAAAGGTAAACAGTGATAAGGAAGCACTGCAACTCAAGTATCTGTCTGAGCTGATCGACTGTATGTATGTGTGTGAAGAAACATACGTCATAAAGTCGAGGAAGTGCCTAGGAGGATATAGGAAAAGGGAGGTTCTGCCATACTTTTATATGGATTTGCTAGTTATGTAAGTCTGAGTACGTTCTTAAAACAGGGGATTGAGATTTATTGTAAGTTGTCAAGCACCAACTAAAATAGATATTTTTTATGTAATAGGTCGGCAAGCGCGCAATTACATCACCTGATGGTTAGCTATCTGCACCACCCGTAACAACGGAGAAGTAACGCGTACGTTGCTTACCTTTTGGGGAGGGATTGAAAGAGAGAAAGGATTGCGCGTCCGATAACCTCACTCAAACTATGAAACACAACACTGTGATTGTTTTACGCCGGTTTTCTGAAAGGCCGTATCAATCCGGTCGAGCCGACCCATTCGTGCCGAAGCATGGCTCTCTCACAGTTAATAGTTATAGATTGATGATCTGTAAACCACACAGTCCTTGACCTTCACCTTCCATCGCGTTAGATGTAGTATCCTTGTTGACTCCGATCAGATGAAGTACGCGCGGCCGTAACAATCGCGTCTTTACGGCATCATTAGGTTCAGCTCGTTTACGACACAATTTGATATGAACCCGATAACGTTTACAGCTCTGGATATTGTATTAAATTTGGATAGCTCGTAAAATATTTTAATGTGAGCCGAGTTAAATGGCGTGTTACGTGGCGGGTAGTGACACTGCTTCACTGACTATTCAAGTATGTACTTGCATACATATGTGTGTGTGTGTATTTTAATTACTGCTTAGTTTATTGGCCGAGGGGTTTAAAGGAAGAATACTAAGATAATGATCGAAGATTTTGTTCCCCAGACAAACTAAACGTTGTTGAGTTTAGATTTACTTTCGAAATCTGTTATAATAGTAGATAATAATAGTAAGTATCGTGAGACATTGTAATTTTATTTCACGTGAGTTGTGATTTTCTCAGTTAATTTAATAAGTCGTTATTTTTAATAAATCTGTTAGATAGGTAATGCTTTGAAATAGTATTCTGCATTATTTATGATGAGGAAGACCGTAAGTTTATTATCTGAAACTATATTTTCCGTTTTTCCATTCATGCAGACACATTAAAGGTTAGTCATAAATTTAAATACAAAATACTATTTCTGTAGGCTCATCGCATCTATTTCAGATATATGAAACACATTCAAGTTAAATTAAAGCTTGTAAAAATAATTAACAATTATGTGCTAAAAAGTGTTAGTAAAAATCACATGTGCGTTGGTTGGCCTCAACGTAAGTAATGTAATAACTTTATAATTACAAAATAGTTAAAATAGTAGAGCATTTGACCTTTACTTTAGCAAGTTCTAAAGCCGGAATATTTCTCAAAGTTTTGGATTCAACATTAGCAAACTTTGACATTCCGAAGAAATAATTTCCATAAGCATATACTGTTAGGTATACATACATATACATAAGTAAACATACATACATTGTATGTATGGTATAGGTATGGTAGGGTATAGGAATTGTTGGTATAATATATGTAGTTGTTGAAATATTTGCTTTAAAAAAACATAAAACTTATCAACTACGTTTCTTATAATTAATACATTCGAACACTAATTTTCTTCATTATTTCAAGGTGAGGTAACTTGTACTGCAAGTTTGTAAATTTTATAATACCAAGAAAGTAAGATTCTTAGCATCCCTCAGCATCACTTTTCCTTGAAATAACAGAGTTCAACTTTTCAATAGCTGGTTGTGAGTCATGCACTCTGTAAAGTAAAGTAAATTTTCAAAGTTTAAGAGTTCCTATATTATATTTGACCAAGAAATCAAAAGTATTATATAAAATCATGCACACTAACTGTCATTTAATTAACAGGACACGTTCATATCAACATTTGGTTTCTTAACATTTAGAGATGCGGAAATATTATTTATATAAACGTATAGAGAGTTATATACGCGATCTAATGTTTTTCTTTTCAAATAACTGAAGGCGATGTAACACAGCGTTATCAGTCACTTAAGATCGCCACACACATACACAACGATTTTCCGTGTGTGTAATATAGGTGTCACAATCACATTATTGTCTATCATAGTGTGAAAACGTGGAAAATTAGATCCTTTATCACTTCCAGGAACAATAATAACATAGTTGAGTTCCAGTTAATCAAACTACCGCAGTAACGTACAGCAGACCACGAAATAAGTTAATAATGAACCAAAATGAAGCAATCCCGGTGTGGTGCGCCGCGCCGCGCGAATACCTGATCATTCTATTAAATATTACATTTTATTAAAATGGCCCTCGCGGGTTGCGATGTACTCAAAACTTTTAACAATACATACACAGAAATCTTTGATTTAAATGAACTGGTTGTAATTGTACAGTTTCTGTAGTAAGTTTACAATCGATAAACAAAGTCATTCCGAAGGTCGTTCTCTGTTGTGAAATAAAGGTCGTAGTTATTCTCGGAAATAATACTCTTGATTGAGAATATTTGAATGGAGCCAGCAGTCCAGTAAGAGTACATTCCACGCATTTTGGACATCAAAGTTAACCCTATAAAAGTCGCGTCGGCTTTTATTTCCGTATGGAACACAGGTATTGAATTCATTCCATTATACGGCACTAGCGTTCATTAACACCAGCGATGCTCAATGGGTCGGACAGGCCCGCCCCGCTCGATCCGGCACGCCTCGTTAACGACAACCTTTCATCTGATTAACTGCTAGCCTTTTAAATACCCCTCTGTTTCCCGTTTTATTGGCGGGATTCCAGGGACGCGCGACGTGTCACGTCATGTGAGAGACGCGGCCCGCAGCCTCCTGCCTCCTGCCGCCTCCTGCCGGCCCCGCGGGGCTCGCACCTCTACTTACTTTTCAGAATAAAACAAATCAATCGATGTCGTATGAATAATTTCCCTTTAAATACTGTAAATAATCAGTGTTTGTGTTTTGGTAATGCGTGGCCATCGTGGATAATGAATGTTTGTTGCTACTTAATTGGATTGATTGTCATTACTAAATTAAAACATTTAATGTGTACGCTTTTCATTTGATTTTATCTCTGAAATAGGTGTAATCCGACGAAGGCGTACAAACTAAATTATTTCTATAGTAGGTACGTAAAGGCAGGCTCATTTTAATAAAAGTAAATGTACTTCCAAGAATTTATTGCTTTGAATACAGAAACAATTTCACGAATGAAAAAGTGATGTTTATACGTCGAAGTATATTTTATACCCGTTACTTTCTGAAGGGTTGTATAAAATTTTATGATCGCCAATTTTCTTATTAAAACGCCGCCGACCTGTGAACTGTATCGTAACAACGCGCAGTAACATTGTCCTGAAACTGTAATTTCAGCAAAAACAAATGTCGAACATTGAACCAACGAGCGACTCTCGTAAGAACAAAAGACGAGATTTTTGCTACTAATGTCGCTATTATCACGCACCATCTAATGAACATATAAAAACACCTTGTAAACTAGAGCGGTCCAAGCTACCGCGCACCGTAGGACTAACGGAATAAAGTTGATATTAACTTGGCAAATGGATCTGGTTATTGAATTTCTTGTGCCCACTGGGTCCACTCACGTACTTCTGTTCGCATAGTTTCGAGATGTTTCCTTCGCAGTACATCTACGTATAATGTAAAATGTATAATCGAAGAAGTGAACTACTCAAAACTATAGAGGAAATTGTAAAATTATACCTACTTATTTGTTTAATTTGTTCAATATAACATTATTTACGCTGACTTCAGACTGAGGCGACTGCTTGTTAGTCGCGTTTGTGACCAAAGAATTGCGTCGTAAAGATTTAAATTCACTCTGAATTAACTTGAGGCCCTCCCAAGGGGTAAGTTGACACGAATAAGTCGCCTAAGGCGCCTTTACGAGTAATGCCATACAATCGTGTATTGAAAACATTTAGAATTCGAAGTAAAACGGTAATGAGAGATAGGATCAGAAATAAAACAAAATTAGTCACGTAGGGTACAGTTTATGGGAGTAGTGGTTGTAACGTCGGCCGGCGCACGCCACGCGGCCCCGCGCCCCGCGCCCCGCGCCCCCGCCCCGATCACTACTAGATCGTATCAGTTTGATTGCTGTTCAAACTAATAGCGCTTTTCAAACTGTTGTTGTTGCCGTATCACTATTTTGTATGTTGTAAGTATTACTCGTATATTCATTGAAATTTCTGACAGCATTCGTACAATAAAATCAATTTAAAAAAAACCACTTGACATAAGTACTGACTACC